CCACCAGTAATGATAGAAAGTCAGAAAAGCCTTGGAGAGCATGCAAAGAGGCAAAGCTGCAGGTGAGGATCAGGTAACATCAGATCTGCTGAAAGATGGAGGGCATATTGTGTTAGAAAAACCAGCCACCCTGTTTACGAGGTGTCTCTTGACGGGAAGAGTACCAGAGTCTTGGAAGAATGCCAACGTCATCTTAATACATAAGAAAGGAGATGACAAGGACTTGAAGAATTACAGGCCGATTAGCTTGCTCTCTATAGTATACAAGCTATTTACAAAGGTAATTGCTGACAGAGTAAAGAAAACATTAAAATTCAATCAACCAAATGAACAAGCAGGATTTCGAACAGGCTACTCAACAATCGACCACATTCATACTATCAATCAGGCAATAGAGAAATGCTCAGAATATAACCAACCACTATACATAGCCTTCATAGATTACGAGAAGGCGCTTGATTCAGTAAAAATATCAGCCGTCATGCAGACACTGCGGAATCAGGGCGTCGATGAAGTATATATAAACATCCTGGAAGAAATCTACAGGGGATCAACTGGTACCATAGTGCTTCATAAAGAAAGCAACAGAATACCAATCAAGAAGGGTGTAAGACAGGGAAATACAATTTCCTCAATGCTATTTGCCACGTGCTTACAGGAAGTTTTCAGAGGTCTAGAATGAGAACAGTTAGAGATAAAAGTTAATGGAGAGTACCTTAGTAACCTGCGCTTCGCCGATGACACCGCATTGCTGAGTAACTCAGGGGACGAATTGCAACTCATGATTACGGAGTTAGACAAGGAGAGCAGAAAGGTGGGTCTTAAAATTAATCTGCAGAAAACGAAAGTAATGTACAACAACCTCAGAAGAGAGCAGCGTTTTGAGATAGGTAATGCCCACTTGAATTTGTAAAAGACTATGTCTACTTAGGGCAGGTAATAACCGTGGACCTGAACTACAAGATTGAAGTAACTAGAAGAATAAGAATGGGGTGGAGCACATTTGGCAAGCACTCTCAAATTATGACAGGTAGATTGCCACTATCTCTCAAGAGGAAGGTATATAACAGCTGTATCCTGCCGGTACTTAGCTATGGAGCAGAAACATGGAGACTTACAAAGGGTTCAACTTAATTTGAGGAAGACGCAGCGAGCAATGGAAAGAAAAATGGTAGGTGTAACCTTAAGAGACAAGAAGAGAGCAGAGTGGGTTAGGAAACAAACGGGGTTAAGGATATCATAGCTTAAATCAAGAAGAAGAAATGGACATGGGCCGGGCATGTAGCGCGTAGACAGGACAATCGCTGGTCATTAAGGGTAACTACCTGGATTCCCAGAGAAAGCAAGAGTGTTAGGGGGAGACAGAAGGTTAGGTGGGCAGATGAGATTAAGAAGTTTGCGGGTATAAATTGGCAGCAGAAAGCACAGGACCGAGTCAACTGGTGGAACATGGGAGAGGCCTTTGTCCTGTAGTGGACGTAGTCAAGCTGATGATGATGATGAATATGTTCGGTTAGAGGCCATGGTTACGGCGGAGTGTGGGACAGTAATGTCACACGCCAGGAGAACATCTGGAATCGGCATCACGATTTAATCACCGTCGAGCACAGGAGAGGGTGTTGCCAATTCATTGAATATGAGAGCTTTGAGTGGTATCCGGAAGAAGTCAGTGGCGCACAGGCTGTTTGGGAGTATAGGTGAGAATCCGGGAGAAGAGGAAGTTCTAGGCAGCGAGTACCAGCGGCACAATCGATCAGAGAAGAATGCGCCGATAAGAAGTCCATGCCGAAGATTAGGTTGTGAGGGCAATTTTCAAGCACCGTAAATAAAACGAGGACATGGCGTCCCGCAATGCTAACACGAGCGGTACATATTCCAGAGAAGGCCACAGTTCCACCATCAGCGACACGGGAGGGCTTTAGTCGCTGTAGACGTGAGGACTTTTTTGAGTAGGTGACAGAGATGAGCACTCATTATGGACACTTGAGCTCCAGCATCAACTAACGCCGTTAAAGAAATACCGTCCACATACACCTCAATAAAGTGCATATTAGTGGGGAGCGTCAACGGAGGATTTCGATCAGTCGCATTTGATGCAGCACTATCTCCCGGAGCTGCATGATCTAGTTTTCCGTCCAAGAGAATCCATAGTTGACCGGCGATTGATAGCGGCGTGGTTGGGGCAATGGGGAACGGCGGCGATAAGGTTACTGCAAACTATCAGTGGAGCGGCTGCTAGGGACGTCGGAAGAAGGGTACACACGACTCTGCGAATACCGACGGGAGTCGTCGTATGGGCAAGAAGAGGAAAATGGGCTTCAGTTTGAGGGTGTCCAAGTGCTGCGGCATTAGCGGGAGATATGGCCAACTCGGTGGCAGCGAAAGCAGATCGGTTTGTCGTCTGCAGTTCTCCATTTTGTCGGATTGCGGGATCGCGGAAGAAAATGTGAGTCATGGCGTGGTGCATTTATTGTCATTGGTCTGAAGGCGAGTCAGGAGACAGAGCAGGCCACAGAAAAACTAAGCTTTGAAATTTCCTGCCTCACGACGGCTTGAATAACGGAGACCGCCGGATGGGTTTGTGCGGCGCCATTGTCGAGTGGATGTGGAGGAAATGGTGCCGGACTTGACGCCTCAAGCTCTCATCGAACTATATGTGTTAAGCTGTCCTGCATGGGTGGTGCGGCACCAAGGTCGGTGCAGGTTGATGTAACAGCCGTGTTTGGTAGCCACGTAAATTGAGGCAGAACACGGCGGCTGTCGGCCATTTCGAAGCGGCGACATTCCTTAATAATCATATCTACGGTCGTGACGTTGGTGTACACGAGCAAGTTGAAGGCACCGTCTGCGATGCCCTTGAGTATCTGGCCCACCTTGTCACTCTCTGTCATTTGCTCATCCACTCTCCAGCACAACGCGAGCACATCCTGTATGTACGAGACATACGACTCAGTTGAGGACTGCACACGAGTGGTGAGTTCTTTTTGCGCTTCCGTTTGGCAACCGGACGGGCCCCCAAAGATGTCGCGTAGTCGCTCCTTGAAGATATTCCAGCTGGTGAGCTCGGTCTCATGGGCGTTGAACCAAACACGTGGAGTGCCATCCAAGTAAAATATTACGTTGGTGAGCATCATGGTAGGGTCCCATAGGTGTGTCTGGCTAATATGCTCGTACATACGGAGCCAGTAGTCAACATCAAGCCCAGGTTGTGCGGAGAATGTACCGAGATCACGGGGGTAGAGAATCATCAGGTATGTAGTGGCTGGAGCTACAGATGGAGATGCTGATGGGTTGTTGTCATTGGTAGCCATGGCCGGAGTCTCAATGGTGCGGCAACTGCGAAGCTTCGTGGTGAGGACAGGGAACGTTCCACCTTCACCAAATATGTTATGGAAAAGAAGAGACGCTGTGTCGACGAGGCTGTGGATTAGATGTATTTGAAAACAGTGCTAATGGAGTGACCAGTTGACCAGCGATCGAGTGGAGATAACCCTTCGTCTTCCTCGTCAGGCACACATGCGCGTCGCCCCCTAGAATATCAATATGCATGCATGTAGCAATATGTCTATGAGAGATGCCGTAGTGGAGGGCTCCGGGTATTTCGACCTATGGAGTTTTTTTGCACTTCTAATAGACATAGCTTTCGTAATGTGGAACCATCAGTGTAAAGCTCATAGATCTGTATAACTGTTGTCTTACGCCCATAGGTTGGCAAACTCACTCGAGTTGGCTCACTTAGACTCGGATTAAGCCACGAGTCTGAGCAAATTAGGGTGAATTATATCTTGACAAGTTTCAGCCTGAGTCTAGTGGGGAAAAATTTTGGGCAGGCCAAGTGGGCCACAAGTGCAAATTACATTTTTTGAGTTAGTTCTGTCTTTTTTATCCGATCTATTTTTGCCCTCACTTTGCAAGCAACTAGCGTGGAGTAGTTAGCAAAGAACACCATCCTCTTGCATTGTGCGCTTGCACAGTCACTCCTCAAGGACCACTTAATCTTTCTCAATTTCTCAGAGTGGGTCAGTGCCAGTTTTCCTAGGAGCATCACAATCATCATTTTGCCAAGTAGTACATGGCTACAAAAGTAAAAACTGAAAGCTAGATACGTGCAGCACAAACTGTGTTCAAAAGTGTGTGTTGACACGGTACAACGGCACAGGCAGGAAGTGTTTTAACCATTGCTGTAGTGTCAAATGTAAATAAGGAAAAAAAAAAAAAAAACGTTAGGCCTGCGCGGAACACGCAGCACAGTCACAGCAAAAGCTGGAAGAGTGGCCTTTCAGTGACACTCTTTGGGTAACTGCCACAATCACACTTGCAGGGTACAAACTATGTCATAAATCATCATCATTATTGTGTAGTAGGGACGCAGTCGCCATGCCGTCATTTATTTTTCTGAAAAGCATTGTCAACGCTACTCCCTAGGAAGAAATTTTATGCAAATTTTTGCTGGTCTAAATTCGCGGAGCCCACCACTCCGGCGTTTCTCAAAATCATATCACAGTTTTGGGACATTAAACCTCAGCAATCAGCATCATACTGTGTCTAGTTTGGGTGGATGAACACAAAAGGCTAGTATTATATGAAGTGGGTGTGCGCCACGGGAAATAGGTGCACAAGAACAAGCTTTTTGTGATGAGTTAGAGCATTCGGCGACCCACTCGTTAAGCAATTCGCATTGTGTGACGGCCTGGTTGTTCCTTCACCGCTCTAAAGAGCGTTATTACTCGTACTAACGCGATTCCTTTTCCGACATGAAGCCTCCCTCGTGTAAGTTTGCAATGAAGTTTCAAGCATCAGCGTGGCTCAGTGGTAGACGCGCAGGGCAGCCGGGTTTATTTTGTCCCTAGTGTTCTGCGCGACAGTGGTTATGGACACTGGCGGCGCACAACTACGACCCTTGCCGCGATATCATAACAACTATCGCTGTAAAAAAAAATGTTGAGCAGTTGTTGAATGAGAAGTGCACTTCAGCGTACGCTTACGGAGAGCCGACTCACCGACCGATGCCTCGGGCTCCAAGGGCAAAGGAAACAGCGTTGGAATGGCGTTCCAAAGAAGCTGCTTGGGCGCGTTCACGTCATTCCCATCTTTAGGAGCCATGAACTGGGATTGCCGAAAGTGTTTTTCGCAAAGGAGAGCTCCACGCCGACGCAGAGATTGACGAGCGCACTCAGACAGGTTATCGTGACCACTGTTCACGCACCACTGAGTTGACCTGTGACAAAACATAGATTGAGTGATTAACAGAAACCAATACTAATCAGAAGTTTTGTGAAAAAATTTGCAGTTACTGCCAGTAATTAAATTTAGTTCAAATATCATACACACTTACAGAAATCGATCTCTTGGGAAGGTAAAAAATTGCAAACTTGGATTATTATCCATAGAATTTTTACAGTTCAGAGCCCAACAATGGCGTGGTATAATGGTTACTTTCCCCCGTGTTCTCATCTTAATAAAAGTCAAGGTAGTCAAATCGCTAACGTTGCTTAATGCTTACAAGAAACTAGGCTCTGTTATAGCTCTGTGACTAGGCAAGTGCAGCAAGCGCACCCACAGAACAGGCTACCACAGAACACCGACCGTACTTGGCTGCAAGTGGCTTTGACCTCCTTGAGTTTACCAAAGTGTAAAAACTTTTTAACACCGTTAGTATGCTGTGACGTTATATAAATATAATAACTAATTTAACTGGTATAACAATCAATTTATATTTTTCATTATCATTTTAGTATGGTGAAAGTAGTGAAGGTAGTGAACATAGGATACAGAAGGTCACGCTAGAGATAATAGATAAATACAAATATCTGGGCGTACGGATAAGCAATGGGACCGAGTACCTAAAGAAACACGAAATATACGTAACGACTAAAGGTAACAGGAATGCAGCAGTGATGAAAAATAGGGCAGAGTGGAATTACAATAGGTATGATGTTGTGAGAGGAATATGGAAAGGGGTCATGGTTCCGGGTCTGATGTTCAGCGGTGTGGTCTTGTGCATGAGATCAGAAGTTTAAGCAAGATTAGAAATTAAGCAACGTGGAATATGTAGGCTTGCTTTGGGAGCTCACGGAAATACACCAAATCAGGGAGTAAAAGGCGATATGAGATGGACATCAATTGAGGGCAGGGAAGCTAGCAGTGAGATAAAATTTGAGAAGCGATTTCGAGAAATGAGAGAGGAGCGTTGGGCTAGGAAAGTTTTCAGCTACTTGTACATGAAGAATGTCGATACAATATGGAGGAAGCGAACCAGAAAATTGACGGGTAAATACTTAGAAAACAGCAGGGGGCCAAACCAAAAAGAACTATCAGTTAAGAAGAAGGTGAAGGAAACGGAGACTGACATGTGGAGAATTGGCATGATTAAGATGTCCGCACTAGAGATCTATTGAACTTTTAAGCAGGAAATTGTCTAGGAAAGAATCTATGATAATACTTGGGGTAGTTCTCTACTGATTGAGGACAGGAGTATTGCGAACCAAGACATATCGGGCCAAATACAAAAAGGTAGACACGGCATGCAGTGCGTGTTGAGAGGAAGAAGAAACTGCCGAACACTTGATAATGTTCTGTAAAGGGCTTCACCCTATAGTTCAGGATGATGGCGCAGAGTTTTTCAAAGCACTGGGGTGAGGGACAGGGAGGGCAAAATAGACTTTAAGCGGGTAGAATTAACTAGAAGGAGATTGTCTGATTGGTGGCTAAAGTCAAGGCACGAGTGAAAATTAAACCCTTCACTGTAAAGTACCAGTCCTATACTTCACTATTTAAAGGGGAAAAAAAAGATAAATCAAGTTGGTGGTTCACCAAGTATTACGGCAAGGTAGCGTCAGCCGCCGCCCGATCCAAAGGGTACAGCCACATCAATCCAATCAATGTGTGTAAGGACGGGAGTATTGCGAACCAAGAGAGAGAGAATAAACTTTATTTAGCTCTGTAGCTGTTCTGCCAAGCGCTGTTCTGCAGAACGCTTGTGGATGGTTCTTCAGTCAAGGACTCCTGAGGCCTTTGCTGCCCGTCTGGCGCGTTCAGCCAGCCAGATCTGGTCATCCGCTTTTCGGCTGGACCATAGAGAAACATACTATGACTGGACAGCGCAGTCTCCCACTGCTTCAGCGTGGTGTTGTGTATGACGGGTACTACCGTTATATTTTGGCATCTCCATGTTGTGTGGTATACTGTAAATTTCTCGCCACACCAGGGACACGTGTCTCTGTATTGTGTTGGGTGTATTTTACTGTAAATGTGTAAGCATGAGTATGAATTTGTTTGTAGCTGCCGCCACGATACCGACTGCTCGCTGTCCAATTTCCAGTGGGGCGGAGGATATCGCCTTCTTGTTTCTTTGAAATGCTGCAAAATGTCCCTGTAATTGCATGCTACTGCCTCGATGCTCCCGGCCATCGATCTCTCTCAGCTAAAGTATCCTCAAGATATGAGATCTGCCTGAACATTCTCTCATGCCCTGGGGCCCATATTATTTGTTTTTTTTTCGTTTGTAGTGAAGAAGAGGAGCTTCAGCGGCATTTCTCGGCGCCTCAGGGGCATCGCCATCAGCATAAGCTCGTGCTTGTTGCGCTTGGCCGGACGCTGCTGACTGCTTCGCTTTCTGCGTTCTGCTCTGCAAATAAACCCCGTTACAACTGGTGGAGTCTGCTGGGTTTCGATCACCCTGGAGCTTCGGAATCGCATTTTACCATCCATTATGCCTACCGACGCAAGCGCCGCTCCAACTCCTCCACAGGCACCGCCTACTATTCTCTGCGCCGGTTCTCTGCGTCTGCGAGATCCCCCTGTTTTCTCAGGCACAGAAGAAAAGGACGTTGACGACTGGATTTCAATGTACGAGCGAGTGAGTACTCACAACAAATGGGATGACGCCACCAAGTTGGCCTACGTCTCCTTCTACCTGTCGTACGTGGCCAAGCTGTGGTTTATAAACCACGAAGCGCAACTCCCTACATGGTTGGTCTTCAAAACGAGCCTCACACAAGTTTTCGGACGGCCCGAGGTACGCAAACGCCGTGCCGAACAACGCTTACATACTCGGTCTCAGCAGCTTGGTGAGAATTTCACAAGCTATATTGAGGACGTTCTGGACCTTTGCAAGCGAGTCAACGAGTCGATGTCCGAAGAGCTTAAGATCAAGCACATCATGAAGGGCATTGAGGACGACGCTTTCCAAATGTTGCTTTCTAAGAGTCCTCGCACTGTCCTAGAACTGACCGAGTTATGCCAGAGTTTTGACGAGTTGCGCAGGCAACGTCTTTCCACCCGACGTCCCTCGATGCTCGACGACTCTTTGTCCAGCCTTTCCACCCTTGGCATAGGAGAAGACCATGCCCCTCTTCTCTCGAAGATCCAAGAGTTCATCCGCACTGAGGTCGCTCGTCAGCTCTCTTTGATGTCCTGCGTACCTGATCAACCACGCAGATTGACGTCTACACTCCGCGACTTCATTCAAGACCAGGTCGCACAAGTTCTTCTTCCCGCCCGTGAACCACCCCCAGTCGCCGCACCTCTCACGTACGCCGAGGCCGTTGCTCGACCTCGACAGCCTGCGTTCCAACCAGCGCCTGTGTATTCGCCGCCGCCCTTTTCGCCGCCGACCTATTCGCCGCCACCTATGCCGATACCACCTCGGCCGCAGTTTTCTGCCCCCCAGCCGCAAGTAGGAGTCTACTCCGACCAATGGCGGACCTACGACAACCGTCCCTTATGTTTTGCTTGTGGCGGTGTTGGCCACGTCGCCCGTTATTGTCGTCGTCGCCAGGCTGCTCAGAACATTCGACGAATGCCCTCTTTCGACCCTCAGTTTTCTTCTACGCCTTCAAGCCCTCCTTCCTCTTCCTTTCCTTCTGATCGTCCACATGGCCCGACCCGCCGCTCCCCATCTCCACGTCGACGTTCGCTTTCCCCTATGCGTCGCCGTTCCGGACCCACCGACCAGGAAAACTAACAGTCGCAGTTTCCGAGGCACGAACTGCGTCCCCGTCGCCATGCACAAGTCCTCGCCCCTGTCCAGCTAACGTCATTGAAGTGTCAGTCGATGGTATCGTCGTCATGGCGCTTGTCGACACCGGAGCCGCTCTATCCGTCCTTTCCATCAACCTGTGCCGCAAAGTCCGCAAAGTTCTGACGCCATTATCCGGCCTCTCTCTTAGAACGGCTAACGCACAAAGTGTAACACCTCTCGCAGCCTGTACCACACGAGTCGTCAGCGAAGGGATTGCGTATATCGTCGAATTCGTAGTGCTGCCCTCGTGGCCCTGCCGCGGTGGTCTAGTGGCTAAGGTACTCGGCTGCTGACCCGCAGGTCGCGGGATCAAATCCCGGCTGCGGCGGCTGCATTTCCGATGGAGGCGGAAATGTTGTAGGCCCGTGTGCTCAGATTTGGGTGCACGCCCAGTCAAAAAAAGTGAATGGGTCCAACTGGTCATACCAGTTCCCATGAATTGGTCCCAAATGGCATTAATTGGAAGCCAACTGGAATGCTGAACTTCAATAGGAAAGACCAATTGGACCTTATAGTTCCAATTGGCCAGTCCAATTGGTTCACCGCTGACCATTTGATCTCCAATTGGAATGCTTGTTAGTCCAATTGGCTGCCCACATTCCAATTGGAAAACCATTGGAACAGTGCATTCCAATTGGCCTCCCAATTGGCATCCCAAATGGTGTGCTTGTTGGTCCAATTGGTTGTACAACTACAATTTGGGAGAGTGTTGGAACATTGTTCTTTCAATTAAAATTTGTTTCATATACATAAAAGTTGATATTTGTTATTTACATGGCAACTTAATTTGCTATAGGCCAGGGCAGAATTCCAGGCTCAAGTAATTGTCATGATTCTTATATATTGGAGTCAATTGAGCCATGTATACATATTTTGAATTGAAAACTTCATTGTAGTGTGCATTAGGTTATGTTCTTCAGTCATTTATGTTCCTTATAAGCAACTTTTTTTTCTAGAGCTGTGGCGTTTACTATAAGGTACATTTTAACTCAAAACAGTGGGACAGTTATAGCATTAACAGTTAACATGAGTTTGAATATGGTACAATTAAAAATGCAGCTAGTTCTGCTGGTTTGTGACCTATAGCTGTGCTCATAGAAGCAGTACTTTCAGTCTCCTGCTGGGTGATTGCCTGGACAAAAATAGGCCCATTGCTACATGCAAGCTTCATCACTTGTTTTTGTCATTTTTTTTTCTTGGATATTTTGTGTAGACGAAGTAATAGTCACTGATGTGGGTATAAAATTAAAGGTTGAAGTTGGTGCACGAAAGCTGTAGTGCAAACGGAGTGTAAAAATCCAGCACAGCACACATGTTGTGGGAATTAGTCATATGCGAAGCAGTCAGCATGCGTCAGCCAATGCTGGAAATTTCATTTTGAGCCTTCAGCGTTACGAGGTGGATAGACATCTTTGTCCCAATTGATTAGCTCTGTGCATATTGTAGACTTTCCAGGCACATCAAGTACACTGACGCGTGAAAGGTAGCTTATGGCACAACATAACATCAGTGTTCCCATTGGAGCTTGCACTTCAGTTATATTACC